CTCAAATTTCATCATAATTTTTAGGCCAAAATGTATTCTGCTACATGTCTTTGGTAAAAAAAAAATTTCAATAAGTATATATTGATTGGTTTGTGTAAAAGTTATAGAGTCTACAAACTATGGTATAGATACTGGAATTTATGCAGCTTTTACTTTGTGATTTCCACATTTCCTGAAGTGCTAAAATGCCAGGGCAGTACAGACCCCCCCCCCCCCCCAAAATTACCCCTTTTCAGAAAGTAGACACCGTAAGCCCAGGGTAGGCAACCTTTGAGAGGTGGAGATCTACCTGAACATGAAAGAGATCAAAGATCATGGGGGGTTCAGCACGAAAAAAAAAAAAATTAACTAGCAAGGCCTAACTAAATAGCAAGGAAAATGTAGAAAAATATAATTTAAAAAATGTCACTGTAAAAAAAACAAAGCTTAGCCTACCTTAAAAATGGACAGTCTGTAGGGCAGTGGGTGGTGTCCAGGGGCGGACTGACCATTTGGAAACTCGGGCACTGCCCGAGGGCCCGGGGTCAGTAGGGGGCCCCATGAGATGCCCCTCGTACCTTTTTCATAGGTTTTTTTGAGTTTGGGCAAGGACCCAGGGGCCCCATGATCCCCTATTGCCCGGGGGCCCCACCATGAGTTGTCAGTCCGCCCCTGGCGGTGTCAATAGGGCAGAGGTTTGTGTCAGTGAGTAGAGCAGTGGATGGTGTCAGTAGAGCAGTGGACAGTGTCAGTAGGGCAGAGGTTGGTGTCAGCAGGGCAGTGGATGGTGTCATTAATTTTTATTTTTACATTTTTATTTTTTTTAAATTTTTTACAATTTCTTCAACAGGAGCCCTGTTGAAAGGGGAGCACTTGGGGGAAGGGCCAGGCAGCAGAAAAAAAGGAGGAACATGGGTGGTGGTGGTGGTGGGGGGGTGTTTACTAGAACCGATCCCCTAGATTTTCCTCCTGCGGCAACTGTACGTTGGTGGGAGGGCGTGGAGGAGATGCTAGCTTTCAGCTGCTCAATGAAGACAGTAAAGAGGATCGTCGGAAGGCAGGTATTTTATGAATCTGAACTCCCAGTAAGTGCTGGGGATTAAGATTTTTCTGCCCCCCAGCTATCCTGGTACCCTAAGGCAGTTATACTAAGCAGCCATATGCTGGGCACCAGCATAAGTTTGTTTAGTCAGCTACCTTAGGACACCTGGGTGGTGGGGGTGGCATCAGAAAAATCCTGATCCCCAGCCAACTGCTGGGAATTCAGATTTTTAAAATACCTGTCCATGGGAAAAAAAGGGGGGGGGCACTGCTGGTGTGGGGAAAGGGGGCTAGAGGTCACTGCTATGGGGCAAACGGGGACAGAGTCATTGCATTGCTGGGGGGGCAGAGGTCACTGCTATGGGGGAAAGAAGGGGCAGAGGACACTACTGGGGGGGGGGTGTGAAGGGCAGTAGAGGCCACTGCTATCGAGGTGGCCCTGCCCATTGAAGTGTCCTCTGCACATCACTCCCCCCATAGTAGTGTCCTTTGCCCCCCCTTTCCCCCATAGCAGTGACCTCTGGCCCCTTTCCCCCAGCAATGTCTTCTCCCCCCCGTTTCTCCCAGCCTCCTCTGCTGCTACTGATATCCTCAGTACTCAGCGGAGAGCGGAGGACAGTGCAGCTCAGGATGGAGGGTGGGAGGAGGAGCTAGCCAAATTAACTTTTCATATTAACCCGCAGGTGATTGGTTGCTAGGTCTGTCCTGTGCTATTTTGTCTGTACTCTCTGTGGGAAAGGGGGGGGGGGTGACCTGTTCGTGATCGATGGGTTACTGATCCCCACCCTAAGCTATCTGTTGAGAGGCATGTTGAGTCCATGGAAGATTTTTTTTTTCCAGTTTTTGGAAAATGAGAGAATATAATTTTTTTTTTTACACAAAGTTGTCACTTAAATTATATATTGCTTACACATGTCATGGGTATATATGGAATTACACCCCAAAATATATTTTGCTACTTCTACAGAGTATGGGGATACCACATGTGTGAGACTTTTTGGGAGCTAAAAGACACAAGATCTTTTTTGGGGTGTCCTTTGGGTTGGAGTACCAGAAATGGCATCAGGAAAGAAATGGCCTCTCATGCAGCCGGCTCACTGCATCTGGGTTGGGGGTCTTGGCCACGGCACCTTCTGGATTCAAAAGGTCCGTGATGATCTCTTCCTGAAATTTTAGGAAGGATCCACTTCTTACAGTTGCTTTGTAAAGCACAAAAGCGTTGTACAGAACCAGTTGAAAAATAAATATACAGATACTTTTTTGTACCAGCATCTGGCTTTACAGGAAACTAAGTACAGCTTCATCATTTGGTCATTGAAGTCCACCCCTCCCATGTTAAGGTTATAGTGGTTGACACAGAGGAGCTTCTCAACAACACCAATTGCCGTGCAAATTTGGACTGTCATGTCTGCGTGAATGGAACACAGGACAAAAACATCCCATTTATCCTTCCACTTCACTGCAAGCAAATCATCATTTCTCAAGCAGAATTTCTCCTTCTTTCTAAGTTGGGTATTTATAAGCTGTTGAGGGAAACCCCAGCGATTGGGTCAATTCCAAGATTGTATAAATGTCTAAATAGTGGCACGCTTGTATAAAAATTTTCCATAAGTGGTACCCCATATTGAATAGGGGTGATGTCAAGTCTCAATCTATCTTGCCTCTGCTGCCCATGTAGTCTGGTTATGAGGGGAGTCCACGTGACTATCTTTTCCCTTGTAAATCTGAAAATGACTTGTATAGCCTGTTGCCCTCTCACAGAGCTCATACTGTAAATTTTGACTTGGCACACTTGCTGGGGAGAAACTGTTTGAATGCAAGGCGGAGATGTTTTCTTGGGTTATATACATATCTGCAAATTTCTGGTTGAGGTGACTTATGAAGTGCTGAATTTTGTGGAGCCGATCATATTCAGGGTCACACCGAGGAAGACAGATAGTTTTGTTATTGAAATGCATAAACCGCATTAAATTCTCATATCTATGTCTGGTCATGGCAGCAGAAAACATGGGCATATGATGAATCAGGTCTGTGGACCAATATTATTGCAACTCATTCTTTTTAGTAATGCCCATGTTGAGGGTTAGGCCCAAAACAAAAAATGTAAACTCTGAAACCATAATGTTTCCATGCAAATGATCTGGCAAGGTTTGAATTTGGGTTGGCAGCGATGTACTTGTCAGCATATAAATTGCTTTGGTCCACAATCCATCAGTACAGATCTTCCAAGAAAAATAGCTCAAGAAAATCAAGGGGAGCAGTTAAGTTTGCTGTTTCCACCTGAATTCTGGGTTGGGCAGTGAATGGGGGAAATACAGGTGCTGCAGAATCTGTTGGCTGCCAATGAGGATTTGCAAAGCAGGTCCGGAAGGACACTATGGGCTCTATAGGCCAGGATGTACTAGGTCACTGGTGCTCACCAGTTCACCAAAAGGTAGCATGGCACTTGTACTAGCACTCCGCTGTATATGGGAATCATCATGCAATTCTAACATCTCAGAAACCTGGGCACAGGATCGGGTATGCCTAACCTTAGCAGGGACCGCTTCTCCATCGTCTGAGCTATCTGTCAGGGTGCTGCTCCTCTCTACAGGTTCATATTCTGAACCTGATTCTATCAGTGAGGCTTCTTCCCATTCACTCTCAGCTGACATGCTCAGAATCTTGTAGGCCTCTTCACTAGTGTACCTTTCTTTGGACATTTTGGCCACTAAATTTAAAGGTACCTAGTTCGGTTCATGGAAAACAGCTCCTGGCTATCAGGGACTGCTACAAAAACGCTAAACGCAGGTGCTGGCAGGTGTCGGGGCTGATCTTGCTAATGCTGCATTTTTATGGACACTATTCTATTGGTATTGGCTAGTATAGTTCTGATCTGATCAAAGATTTTGACCCGTTCAGACACTATACTAGTAATGGAGGATTTATAGTGTGTATGTGAGAGTGTTCCTGGCAATCAAATGATTAAATGTGATGGTGATAGTGTGACAAGTAATCACAGGCACAGGATGATCTCTGATTTGGTACAACCGATCAGCAGCTCCAGGCCAAACATCAATGTGCTGTATCACAGCACAGCCAGGCCAGCAGGTATGTATGTGCACGCCGCTAACCCAGGAACACGGAGGGAGTGTGAATTATGTATATATTGGTGATTTTGCGTAGGGCGGCCACCCTGAAGCACTATGTATATCAGTGACTAGTAGGTGTGTTTTCGAGTCTACTTTGCAGTAATTATTTATGTCATTGATCTAGTGACCTGGGAAGTTTCCAGACACACCTACTGTAGGCTCTTTGCTGTCTCTCACATCTCAAATCTAGCAGTCTGACCAAGCCACATAAAAGCAATGGATCATATGGGAGGCCAGCTGGTCTTATCTCAGCAGAGATGTCAGTTACCCTTCTAATGTTAGTATAGAGTTCGCAGCGCTCAGGTAGACATCCACTTTATTCCCAATCTTCCAACTGTTGCTAAGCCTTGAACCCCTGGACAGATACAGTGAAACTACAGGTAATCCAGCACTTCCAAAAAAAAAAAAATCATACATCCCCCAATAAATTGTGGGGATGTTAGTCTTGGGGAATGGACGCCTATTAGTCTGGGCTGTCAGTGCTAGGGAGAAATGGGGTGTTAGTCTGAGGTTTCAGTGGTTTGGAGTAGGTAGGTTTCCTCACGCCTCAGTATTACACGGAGAAGATGATGAACACACAAAGCTTTATTGAAACAACAAAATGACAGACACTCAATGGGGAAATGGCAGGGAGGGTGACGGGGCACGGGGGGTCTTCGGTGACAGGCAGGCAATCTCCCCCAGTAGGCTTGGGGCCTCAGCCAAGCTCCCTCCGTGACTGCACAGCGGATTGGAGTCTCGGGCAACCTACCCCTGGGCAGGGGTCTCAGGCAACAGGCAGGCAATCTCCCCCAGAGGCTTGGGGCCTCAGCCGAGCTCCCTCCGTGACTGGACAGTGGATTGGAGACTCGGGCAACAGGCGGGCAACCTACCCCTAGGCAGGGGTCTTGGGGACTCAACAGGATTCTAGCTGTGGAGTCTGGCCTAGCACAGCTCCCACCCAGCTTTCTAGGGACATTGGGTTCACGGGGACTCAACAGGGAAGCGATGGCACAAGCACTCAGGGGCATCACAGGTAGCTATACTCCAGGCACGCCATGGGGCGGTTCAAGTAAGGGTAGTCTAGGTGTGTAGTAGGGCAGTTCATAACCCAGGTGGTCTGTGCGCACAACAGGGCCAGCTCAGGACACGGGTGGTCAGTGCACACAGCAGCGACAGTTCAAGACACGGGTGGTCGGTGCACACAGCAGGGACAGTTCAGAACACGGGTGGTCGGTGCACACAGCAGGGCCAGTTCAAAACACGGGTGGTCGGTGCACACAGCAGGGACAGTTCAGAACACGGGTGATCGGTGCACACAGCAGGGACAGTTCAGGACATGGGTAGTCTGTGCGCACAACAGGGACAATTCAGGACACGGGTAGTCTGTGCGCACAACAGGGACAGTTCAGGACACGGGGAAGGTTGGTGCGCACAACAGGGACAGTTCAGAACACGGGTAGTCTGTGCGCACACCACGGGCAGTTCATGGCTTCTAGGGACACTCACGGTAGGCGACTTGCAGACGCTCAGCAGCAGGCGGCTTTCAGGGACCCTCACAGCAGCCGGCTCCTCCAGGGGCCTAGCGATCAGCAGCAAGGGCCCTCACGGCGGCCGGCTCCTCCAGGGGCCCAGCAACCAGCAGGCAGGGGCCCTCCCAGCAGCCAGCTTCTCCAGGGGCCCAGCGATCAGCAGCAGGGGCCCTCACAGCTTGCCAAGTGCCTCCTGTATATGATCTGCCAGCCTGCTTAGTGCCTGCTGCCTGTGACCTGCCAGCCTGATATGTGCCTGCTGCCTGTGACCTGCCAGCCAGCCAGCCAATTGCCTCCTGTCTGTGACCTGCCAGCCTGCCTATTGCCTGCTGCCTGTGACCCGCCAGCCTGATATGTGCCTGCTGCGTGTGACCCGCCAGCCTGATATGTGCCTGCTGGATATCGTATGTACTCTCCAGCGCCTCAGGATATGCACAGCCAAAAGGAAAGCCAAGGGTACCAGGACAGCGACAACCAAAGGAAATGCTCCAGGGGTGCAGCCCTCCTCAGACGGGGAAATCAGCCACTGGATAGAGAGAAAACAGGTGGCGCACACACCTAGTGCATTATCCAAGGTTTATTGTAGGAGTGAAATAATAAAAACATACTCACAGACGAAGCATGTATCTAAAAAGCATAGAAAAATGACAATGGCCACAACGGCAGGCAAGGTGTTCTCACTGTCAGTGCGCTCAAATGGCTGACGCATTTCGGGGACGAATCCCTTTCCTCAGAGCTGATGACCAACCTCTGATGCTGATGTATGATGAATGGAAAGTAAGAGCCTTGCTGTTGATGCGGCAAGTACTAGTAATGTGGGCTCACAGCAGCATCAAAAACTCAAGTGACATGCTGAGATTTGGTCTCTTCTACCACATTGAGTACTGCAGATTAGAGGACCTGGATTGTAGCCATGTGACCTCTGTAAAATTGCCAAAAAATGGTAATTGAAATATGTTGCACTGCTCACTTGCTACAGATGGGATGGAGGTGAACCTTTACAGACCATAAGGCTTCATTCCCTTAAGCGTTTTGAAGCTGGAAACTCCAAAAGCCCAACATTGAAAAGCCCTTGTACTTCAATGATGGCTATTCCAAATACTGTATGAGTACTTATGCACCCCTAAGTCAACTCCTGACCAGGGGCGGACTGACAACTCATAGGGCCCTCGGGCAATAGGGGATCATGGGGCCCCTGTGCCCTTGCCCAAACTCAAAAAAGCCTATGAAAAAGGTACCAGGGGCATCTCATGGGGCCCCATACTGACCCCGGGCCCTCGGGCAGTGGCCGAGTTTCCAAATGGTCAGTCCACCCCTGCTCCTGACACTCCAAAAGACACAAGCTACTTTTAAGACAGATTTGGGCACTTGTAACGTTTATATAATTATCCTGTGCCACTCATTAAACTGTGTCTAAATAATTCTAGTGCTAAGAAAAATATAAATAAATATATATATATATATATATCACTAGCCTACAGGGCACTTATACCCCCTTCCTGCCCTGGCTGGTTTTCAGCTTTCAGTGCTGTCACACTTTGAATGACAATTGCGCTGTCATGCAACACTGTACCCATATGAAATTTTTATCATTATTTTGAGACAGATAGAGCTTTCTTTTGGTGGTATTTAATCGCCTCTGCGTTTTTTATTTTTTGCTAAACAAACCAAAACCTACTGAAACTTTTGGAAAAAAACGTTTTTTCTCAGTTTTTGTTATAAAATTTTGTAAATAAGTGATTTTTCTCCTTCGCTGATGTGCGCTAATGAGGCTGCAGTGATGGGCACTGCTAGGCTGCACTGATGGGCACTGATAGGTGGCACTGATGGGCACTGATGGAGAGGCACTGGTAGGTGGCGCTGATGAGCATTGACAGACATCACTGATGGGCACTGAAAGGCAGCACTCATATATGGCACTGATAGGCAGCACTGACTGGCACTGTTAGGCGGCACAGACTGGCACTGTTAGGCGGCACTGATAGGCAGCACTGACGGGCACTGATAAGCGGCACTAATGCGCAGTGATAGGCTACACTGACTGGCACTGAAAGGCGGCACTGACTGGCACTGAAAGGTGCAACTGATTGGCAGTACTGATAGGTGGCACTGACTGGCATTGATAGGTGGCACTGACTGGCACTGATAGGTGATACTGAAAAGCAGCTCAGATGGACACTGATATGTGGCATTGATGTGCACTGGTAGGCACTGATATGTGGCATTGATGTGCACTGGTAGGCACTGACAGTTGGCATTGATGGACACTGACAGGTGGCACTGCTGGGGCTACACTGATCATCAGGGCACACTGATCATCAGTGCCCTGATGATCAGTGTGCATGTCCCCTCTGAGGAATGCCGATTACTGGCTCTCCTCTCCAGCTGTCAGCGTGACAGCTCATGAGGAGATGACAGCCGATAACCGGCATTTCCCTATTTACATGTTATCAGCTGTGATTAGACACAGCTGATCACATGACCGAGCTGACATCTTCGCCTCTTTCTGTTCATCGGTGATCCACTGTGTCCGAGGGACACAGCGCAGCACTGATCGCCGCGCTATGCGCTCCCGGAGCCGCACACGCGCGGTTAGAGTGGGAGGACGTCATATGACAAAACGAGAGAACCGCCTTGCACCCGTCATTGCCTTATATGGCGGGCAGGAGGCAGATATATATATATACAGTTGTGTTCAAAATAATAGCAGTCAGACATCACTAACCTGATCAATCACTGTTTTTGGTAGAAATGATATTTCTACATGGCAAATGATTTACTAGCAGGTGTAGTTGAGTAATAGAAATCCAACAGACCCAACAGTCATAACATGCATGCTCCTGATTCTGTGTAATTGATTCACTAATTGAAAGGGGCAAGGTTACAGTGCATTTCTCTCTGAAATTATGAGGAAAATGGGTCGTTCCAGACATTGTTCAGAAGAACAGCGTACCTTGATTAAAAAGTTGATTGGAGAGGGGAAAACATATAAATAAGTGCAGAAAATGATAGGCTGCTCAGCTAAAATAATCGCAAATGCTTTAAAATGGCAATCAAAACCTGAAAGACGTGGAAGAAAGCGAAAAACTACCATTTGAATGAATAGAAGAATAGCCAAAATGGCAAGGACTCAGCCAACAATCAGCTCCAGGAAGATCAAAGAAGGTCTAAAGTTACCTGTGAGTACTGTTGCAATTAGAAGACACCTATGTGAAGCCAAGCTATCTGCAAGAAGCCCCCGCAAAGTCCCACTGTTGAAAAAAAGACACGCTGAAGAGGTTACAATTTGCCAAAGAGCACATTGACTTGCCTAAAGAGAAATGGCACAACATTTTGTGGACTGATGAAAGTAAGATTGTTCTTTTTGGGTCTAGTGGCCGGAGACAGTTTGTCAGACGACCCCCAAACACTGAATTCAAGCCACAGTACACTGTGAAGACAGTGAAGCATGGTTGCGCAAGCATCATGATATGGGGATGTTTCTCATACTACGGTGTTAGGCCTATTTATCGCATACCAGGGATCATGGATCAGTTTGAATACATCAGAATACTTGAAGAGGTCATGCTGCCTTATGCTGAAGAGGAAATGCCCTTGAAATGGGTGTTCCAACAAGACAACGACCCCAGACACACCAGTAAACGTGCAACATCTTGGTTCCAGACCAACAAGATTGATGTTATGGAGTGGCCAGCCCAATCCCCGGATCTTAATCCAATAGAAAACTTGTGGGGTGACATCAAAAATGCAGTTTCTGAGGCAAAACCAAGAAATAGAGAAGAACTGTGGAATGTAGTCCAATCTTCCTGGGCTGGAATACCTGTTCACAGGTGCCAGAAGTTGGTTGACTCCATGCAACACAGATGTACAGCAGTTCTCAGAAACAGTGCTTATACAACTAAATATTAATTAAGTGCAAAATTAATTAAAGCAAAATCTTCAAACATTTTTCAGTTTATATAGTGAATGTTTGAGTTTGTAAAGAAGAATACAAACACTGCTATTTTTTGAACAGTCTAATATTCACTTTTCTTCAATTTTTTTTAGAGGAACAACACAAATTTGATATATTTTCCTTCATGTTCTGATTTGGAATAAAATGTGTAGTGTTCCCAATGCATTTGGATTTTGAGCTTTATTCACTTTTTTCAACACACTGCTAATATTTTGCACACAACAGTATATATATACTGTATATATAGAGAGAGAGTGGTTGCAAACAACAAAGTGTTCCCACAATATCAAATGTAAATAAACCTGATAATCTGATGCTGCGCCTCCCTAAAAATGTTCTCTCAAAACCAATATCTAAGTGTAAATTATAAATACATCCAATACTGTGTGTGATTATGCCCTTGGTGTTCATACATGATTCACTTTTACCCGATCACTATATAGCATACCAAACCAAACCAATTCCAATCATAAAAATATATATCATATCCCTATATTGGTGGTGTATATATTAAGGAAAAAAAAAATATATATATATATAATGTCCACAAAGTGAATGTATAACTTCTTCAATATATATGTGTTCCACCTCCTGTGCTCACTCCAAATCATGCAAGCGTATTTGCCACCACCGTTCAATCCTGCGCTCACCTCTACTTATGGACCTGTCCACTTACAGGTCATATGCGCTTGTTTCACTTATATGGGATCCCTAAATCAGTTCATCTTATGTATGTAGCCTCCCTTATGGTTGGTGTCCCATTACTCCTATCTTCACAATGCAGATCACTCAAAATAGGTAGCCTGGCCCTTTAAAAGTGCAATCCCCATTTTTTGCGATCGCTATGAATTAGTGGTGGTTTCTGCTTGTGCATATGCTGAACTGCTCGACACGTCTGGTAAAAAATCTTCAATATGGTATCACAGGACAGTGGTCCTTTACTTTCAGCTCTGTTCAAGAATTCCACAAGTCGATCTTTCCATAGTTCTGCTAAAAGCAAAAATTTGCCTTGGCCAATGTCCGATTCTTCTTTCCCTATTGAAGCTGCTGAACTTAACTGTACTATGTTTGGAAGTCCAGATAGTTTTGCCATCATCCTTCAGGGACAATTTCTGCAAAGCACTCTGTACCAGGTGTTGAGGTGTAGACATCCACTACTGTGTCATCATTAGAGATGAGCGAATTATTCAAAAATTCGATTCGGCTGATTCGCCGAATTTGCGGGAGAAATTCGATTCGATGCGAATTTATTCGCCACGAATTTAACTTATTTAAAGGGTTTCTAGGCTTCAGAGAGCCTTTATATTAGTGCAGAACACTGTACCTTTAATTTAAATGCCCTTGGAGTCTGCTGGGGAAGAGAAATAATACTGTCAGTCAGTATGACATGCAGATGAGTGCCGTCGATCTTAGAATCACCGCACACTTCACTCATTTGGGCAGTCACGGGGCACGACGAAGAAGAAGAAGAAGAATGAAAAGAAGAAGAAGAAGAATGAAAAGAAGAATGAAAAGAAGAAGAAGAAGAATGAAAAGAAGAAGAAGAAGAATGAAAAGAAGAAGAAGAGAATGAATGAAAAGAAGAAGAAGAATGAAAAGAAGAAGAAGAAGAAGAATGAAAAGAAGAATGAAAAGAAGAAGAAGAAGAATGAAAAGAAGAAGAATGAAAAGAAGAATGACAAGAAGAAGAAGAAGAAGAAATGACAAGAAGAAGAAGAAGAATGAAAAGAAGAAGAAGAAGAATGAAAAGAAGAATGAAAAGAAGAAGAAGAAGAATGAAAAGAAGAAGAAGTAGAATGAAAAGAAGAAGAAGAATGAAAAGAATAAGAAGAAGAATGAAAAGAAGAAGAAGAAGAATGAAAAGAAGAAGAAGAAGAATGAAAAGAAGAAGAAGAATGAAAAGAAGAAGTAGAAGAATGAAAAGAAGAAGAATGAAAAGAAGAAGAAGAAGAATGAAAAGAAGAATGAAAAGAAGAAGAAGAAGAAGAATGAAAAGAAGAAGAAGAATGAAAGAAGAAGAAGAAGAAAAGAAGAATGAAAAGAAGAAGAAGAAGAATGAAAAGAAGAATGAGAAGAAGAATGAAAAGAAGAATGAGAAGAATGAAAAGAAGAATGAAAAGAAGAAGAAGAAGAATGAAAAGAAGAAGAAGAAGAATGAAAAGAAGAATGAGAAGAAGAATGAAAAGAAGAATGAGAAGAATGAAAAGAAGAATGAAAAGAAGAAGAAGAAGAATGAAAAGAAGAAGAAGAATGAAAAGAAGAAGAAGAAGAAGATGAATGAAAAGAAGAATGAAAAGAAGAAGAAGAAGAATGAAAAGAAGAAGAAGAGAATGAAAAGAAGAATGAAAGAAGAAGAAGAAGAATGAAAAAGAAGAAGAAGAAGAATGAAAAGAAGAAGAAGAAGAATGAAAAGAAGAATGAAAAGAAGAAGAAGAAGAATGAAAAGAAGAATGAAAAGAAGAAGAAGAAGAATGAAAAGAAGAATGAATGAAAAAGAAAAATGAAAAGAAGAAGAAGAAGAATGAAAAGAAGAATGAAAAGAAGAAGAAGAAGAATGAAAAGAAGAAAGAAAGAATGAAAAGAAGAATGAAAAGAAGAAGAAGAAGAATGAAAAGAAGAAGAAGAAGAATGAAAAGAAGAAGAATGAAAAGAAGAATGAAAAGAAGAAGAAGAAGAATGAAAAGAAGAAGAAGAAGAATCAAAAGAAGAATGAAAAGAAGAAGAAGAATGAAAAGAAGAAGAATGAATGAAAAGAAGAAGTATTCCAGTACAGCAAAAAGTGTATCTGCAGAGAGCTCCGCTATTTCTGACAGTTCTCTGACAGTTCCTTCACATTTACAGCGGTTGAAACATTGTATCTATTTATTTCCGAATAAAAACATCTGTATCCTAAATGGAAACAAATAGATACAATGTTTCAACCGCTGTAAATGAACTGTCAGAAATAGCGGAGCTCTCTGCAGTGACACTTTTGCCGGCTGATCGGGAAAAATTCGATTCGTGCACCCGAAGTTTGCTAAAATTCGGATTCGATGCGAATCGAATTTTTCCTGAAATTCGAAACGAATTCCACTTCGCCAGGTTCGATTCGCTCATCTCTAGTCATCATCTATCTCTCTAACAGAGATGGCTGCTGTAGAAATGGGTTCATGTGCTACTGTCCCATTAAGAGAGTCTGGTGGGCTTCAGTCAACTGTCAGCCGAATAGGCGGTTTATCCCCTGCTGGTTGACACTTGCCATTATGAGCTGTTTAAGACAACGCTCCGAGCAATAGCTATTAAATTTGTACTCTGTACAAATCTATGGCTGAAGCCACTGCTGCTGGCATACATTTGCACATCTGAATAGTTACCTGCCGACAGAGTATCTGAATGATCATTGGATGAAGTCAGTGTGCCTTCAGGGTT